CGGGTTTAACGCAAACATTGGGCGCTGATGACGTTAGCTGCACGCGACGCGTTACTTGTTTCGGATTATATTGAAAACGTGTTTTGCGCTTGTGCGGCATTTTTATAATCTATATAAAATACAAATAAATTTGCTTAGCTTTTAAACATTTACAGCCCGGTTGAAAGTGAATGACGCTGTTGACGTTTAACAACACTGCCACCGCATTGGCGCTCAGCTGTTTTTTCTATTGGTACTCGTGCCGCTGATGTGCATTTTATTTTGATTATTAATTAAAGTATGGCCTTATCGCGCGGCAAGCCCGATCAGGTACCAGCCGATGCAGTTGTCATAACGGAAGATCAGGCTCTGCAATATCAGTGGAAGATCATAACATCCTGGGACAAGCTTGGAGATGTGTATGTACTCAATTGATGCCGCTTACCTAACCACTGATAGCCTCTTTATGTTTGTGTCTACATAGCTGGTCATTGCGGTATACGCCCGGCATACTCAGCGCCTTAGCGGCAGCTACGGGCGCCTACGTTAATAACCATTACCGCACACGTCTGCGTCTGGGCGCACATGGTCGCCTCTCCAGCTACTTGCCCATTGTGGCTGTGCCTGCGATATTCACAATGTTGAGTCACAAATTCTTCATACAGCGTCCATTGCTACTAAATCCTCTAGCCGAGTGTCCTGTGTGCACGCAAGTGCGCAGTGCCGCCTTCCAAACAGCTTTGGGTGTTGTCTATCCCACAATATTGGCACCATTTGCTGCATTCATGTTTGCGACCAGATGCTATACCTACCGATTGCCTTCTATAACGGAAAGTCCCAGGGAGGTTTTAATGCTGTATCATAAGTTTACGCGTCCAATTATACCCGCTCTTAGCACAATAATTGTCGTACAGGCATTTTTAACCATGTATCTGACCGGCAAAGAGGAGAAACAAAACTTTAACTTATTGTTGCGTATGAAGGAAATCGAACACGAGCTGGAGGCAAGGCATATGCCACCGCGATTGGATTATTAACAATGAATGTACAAATACGTTAACTGATTAAATTGTTATTTGCTTATAAATATATGTTAATTGGATCTTTATATTTTGCCGCCAATTAGACAAGCATCGATATATATTTCAAAAACTGGTTCGATTTTAATTCAAATGTGCCTGCAATCGTGAACTAGTCACACACACACTCGCATTGGCGTCAATGGTGTGTAACTACTATTGTGCTTGAAAATATTCGGGATTTAAATGTATGCAACTACCAAATATTAACAGCGAACTAAGACAGTTTATGTCGGGACAGAGAGTGATGGCTTTTAATTTAAATATTGAGCAAATGTGTTTCACAGCGCCTCAGTCACAGGTTCGCCGAAATTGCTCAGCACTGGCTGCCGGCTGAACTGGTTCTTTTGCTGAACTTGCCGCATTGAAATCGGTTCGGCTTACACGTTGTTGCAGTCGGTTGACGAAATTGTTTTGTATTTGCACCCAATTCTTATAGACGTGAGTAATACTCCACTAATACATATGCAAATGCAAATTTAACTGTTTACGTATTATAAAATAAATAGTTTTGTGAAAGTTTTGCAATTGAATTTTTATACAATTATGTCACGTTAAACGTAAATTTGTGCACTTTCTCACATTTGCATTGAATATACGTACATAGAGACAGTTTGGTCGCGTGGCAATTGGCCAAAACTAACCTTTGTCTTGCGTTCTCCAATTTTATGCCCACAGTTTTTTATACATTAAAAAGAACATCATGAAGTTCCTGACCGCTAAGGAGGTGCGCGATACCTACCTGAACTTCTTCAAGGAGAAGCAGCACATCTATGTGCACTCCTCCAGCACGATACCGTTGGATGATCCCACCCTGCTTTTTGCCAACGCCGGCATGAATCAATTCAAGCCCATTTTCCTAGGCACTGCCGATCCCAACAGTGAGATGGCCAAATGGGTGCGCGTTGCGAACACGCAAAAGTGCATTCGCGCTGGCGGCAAGCACAACGATTTGGATGATGTGGGCAAGGATGTTTACCATCACACGTTCTTTGAAATGTTGGGCAATTGGTCGTTTGGCGACTACTTTAAGAAGGAGATTTGCGCCTGGGCTTGGGAATTCCTTACGGTTCGTTTAAATTTGCCCAAGGATCGCTTGTATGTGACCTATTTTGGCGGCGATGTTGCCAGTGGCCTGGAACCGGATCTCGAGTGTAAGCAAATGTGGCTGGATTTGGGTTTGAAGCCGGAGCACATTTTACCCGGCAGCATGAAGGATAACTTCTGGGAAATGGGTGAAACGGGCCCGTGTGGTCCATGCTCTGAGCTGCATTTCGATCGCATTGGCGGACGCAGCGTGCCAGAGCTAGTCAACCAGGATGATCCTGATGTCCTAGAGATTTGGAATCTGGTGTTTATACAGTACAATCGCGAATCCGATGGCAGCCTCAAGCCATTGCCCAAGAAGCACATCGATTGCGGCATGGGCTTCGAGCGCTTGGTTTCGGTTATACAAAATAAACGCTCCAACTATGATACGGATTTGTTTGTGCCGCTCTTTGATGCCATACAAGCGGGCACTGGCGCACCGGCTTATCAAGGACGCGTTGGCGCCGATGATGCCGATGGCATCGATATGGCCTATCGTGTCCTGGCCGATCATGCTCGCACCATAACCATAGCCTTGGCCGATGGCGGCAATCCCGACAATACGGGCCGCGGCTATGTTCTACGCCGCATCCTGCGTCGCGCAGTGCGGTAAGTTTTAGTTAAATATATTAACATATATATAAAAAAACGTTAATAAACATATTTTCTTGGCCCGCACAGCTATGCCACGGAGAAGCTGAATGCCAAGCCTGGTTTCTTTGCCACTCTGGTGAACACAGTCGTCGAATTGCTGGGCGATGCTTTTCCCGAGGTCAAAAAGGATCCACAGCAAATAATGGACATCATTAACGAGGAGGAGCTACAGTTCCTCAAGACGCTAACACGTGGTCGCAATTTGCTTAATCGCACCATTGAGAAATTAGGCGCCAATCAAACCACCATACCCGGCGATGTGGCCTGGCGTTTGTATGATACATATGGCTTTCCTGTGGATCTCACCCAGCTGATGGCCGAGGAGAAGTCGCTGCAGATTGATATGGCTGGGTACGATGCGGCCAAACAGAACTCGTATATACTCTCCCAGGGCAAGGGCGCTAGCAAAATTGAAGAGATTAATCTCGACGTGCATGCCATATCGCAGCTGCAGGAGCAGGGCGTGCCGCCCACAAATGATTCTTTCAAATACAAATACGAGGCTGTTTCCAATGAGCGCGACTCCGCCTACAATTACAGCGAATGTACCAGCAAAATTGTCGCGTTGCGGTATGAGAATAAATTTGTCCAGGAGATCAGCAGCGGCCAAAAGGCCGGCATTGTGCTCGATAAGACGAACTTCTATGCGGAGAGCGGTGGCCAGATCTATGATCAGGGCGCACTTGTCAAGCTGAACGATGAGGCAAATGAATTTCTGGTGGATCGCGTTTACAATCGCGGCGGCTACATACTCCACATTGGCGTAGTCGAAGGCACTCTGGCAGTTGGTGATGAAGTGCAGCTGCATATCGATGCCGAGCGTCGTTGGCTAACCATGAAGAATCATTCGGCTACGCATGCACTGAATCACTGTCTGCTGCAGGTGCTAGGCAAGGATACGGAACAGAAGGGATCGCTGGTGGTGCCAGAGAAACTGCGTTTCGATTTCAACAGCAAGGCGGCCATGACCATCGAACAGGTCGCCAAAACGGAGCAACTGACTCGCGATATGGTGTACAAAAATATGCCCATCTATGCCAAGGAGTCGCAGCTGGCGTTGGCCAAGCGTATACGCGGACTGCGCTCGGTCTTCGATGAGGTCTATCCGGATCCGGTGCGTGTCATCTCGTTTGGCGTGCCTGTCGATCAGCTCGAAGCTCAGCCTGATGCCGAGGCGGGCGAGCAAACCTCTGTGGAATTCTGTGGCGGCACACATCTAAGAAACTCCGGCCACATCATGGACTTTGTCATTAGCAGCGAAGAGGCCATAGCCAAGGGCATTCGCCGTATTGTGGCACTAACAGGTCCTGAGGCTCTGAAAGCTCTCAAGAAATCCGAAGCATTTCAGCAGGAAATCAGCAAGCTGCAAGCGACCATTGAAGCTGACAAGACTGGCAAGGATTCCAAGCTGTATGTGAAGCAAATTGTCGAACTAACCGAACAAATCTCGCATGCAACCATACCCTATGTAAAGAAGGACGAGATGCGCAATCTGCTCAAGTCGCTGAAGAAGACGCTCGATGATAAGGAGCGTGCGCTGCGTGCCGCCGTCTCGGTTACGGTTGTGGAGCGTGCCAAGGCCTTGTGTGAGGCCAATCCCCAGGCAAATGTTTTGGTCCAGCAACTGGAGGCCTATAACAATACCAAGGCACTGGATGCTGCCCTGAAGCAGGTGCGTTCTCAATTGCCAGACGCTGCGGCCATGTTCGTTTCCGTCGATGCCGACTCCAAGAAGATCTTTTGCCTGTGCTCGGTGCCCAAGAGCGCCGTGGAGAAGGGTCTGAAGGCCAACGAATGGGTGCAGCATGTCTCACCCGTCTTGGGCGGCAAGGGTGGCGGCAAACCCGAGTCTGCTCAGGCCTCCGGCAGCAACTTCGAGCGCGTCGATGAGATTGTGCAATTGGCCAGAAAATTTGCCCAGGCAAAGCTGAACTAAATCGCATCCAATACCACATTTGCATACTCAACAAACTATTCATATTACACGAGACAAAAAATATATTGTAGACTGTTGCGAACGGTCAAACAAGCTGCATTTCAAGTGAACTTTTGCTTATTTATATATAAATAATATTAAACATTTATCAATTTTCTAATTATTGGCGAAAAAAATGTTGTTTGACAATTCTTGTTATATACCGTTGCAATTGAATAGCTAGGCTTTGAACTAGGGTCTCCTTCAGTTGATAACTAAAACTGTTATAATGCAATATTCTGGTATACAAATTGCCAGAGTTTTATTAACGCGCCTACCCTAGTTCAACTGTTATAAAACAACCGTTATAAACATTTTTGAACTCGCAAAAATATTTTGCTGACTTTTGAGCAAGGTCTGTTTTTTTTTTTTTGAATTGATAATAAGACTAATTACCTTGCTTTCTGCACAAAATCCAGTCGACTGCCTCCGCGAAATTTTTGACCACAGCCGTGGGTGGCGGTGAGATTGCTGCCAGAGCATCCGGCAAGAATTTGCCTGTCTTGACGAGTATGCCCTGCATACCCACTTGCATGGCACCAGCAATATCATCATTTGCATCCTGGAAACCGCAATAATTTCATTCATAAATTTCATCCAATCATTAATATATGCATGTCTTACATCACCAATCATTACGCACTCCTCGGCTCTAAGGCCGTCAGGCAGGGCGCTTTGGAAATAGTAGGAATTGGGTTTGCCTATAAGCGTCGCCGTGCTGCCCGTCGCGTACTCCAAACCCTTGACAAAGCAGCCGGGTCCCAATGCCAGCCCATCCGCGCGTTTATAATACTTGCCCTGATGCACTGCCACAAGCTTGTGCGTTTTATTCTGCAGCAGCACACTGTAAGAAAAGAGGGCAACACCTTAAGACCGACTTGTGATGCACATTTCTCTCGTTTGACGCATCACTTACTTGAAGGCCTTATTCATGTGCTCATAATCGAATGCATTGGGCGCCAGGCCTACGACGACCGCATCGTGAGGCCGGCTCTGGTCCTCATCGGGGAAATCTCTTCGTGCATCACTTGTAAGCAAATAGTAGGGATTCAACTTTTCATTTGATACAAATGCAACTGCCGCGCTCAATGAGCTGTAAATCTCCGCGACTTCCAGTTGAAAGCCAATTTTAACTAGCCGCTCGTAGAGTGTCGCTTTCGAGTCTTTTGTGGTGTTTGTTACAAATTTAACGGTTATGCCGCTGCTGCGCAATCTGCAAGATAATTAATGTATGTTCTTATTAATTATATTTATCTTACAGATTTAGGTACCTTTGCAGCGCCACAACAGCGTTAGGCGTTGGCTCATCCTCCACATGAAGAGTACCACTTAGATCTATGAGCGCAGCTTTTATGGACATTTTTCTGAATCGTACTAAACTCCAGCGGTACAGCATTCGATATCGATAACATCATAAGACACCAAATCGATTAGCCCATTGTGAACTAGATACTTTAATACTTCGATTGTGTAGGTTCTGGTATTTTTTAAAACATTGAACAAATTTATCGATATGTATTGCTGCCGGTATAAGCATGTTTTTGACTTACTATCGATAGAGACGAAAAGACAGAACAATTCAAAACATAACTATTGTATTCAATTATCTTTTGAACTAGTTCAAAATTTATTAAAAATCAAGTCGCTTTAAGACAGTAACATTGCATTGTTGAAGTATTTTACAATTTTTGAATTTATCAGTTATATGTGCTTAATTATTGGAACAACAAACATATTTCATATATTGCAAAAGTTGTCGAAAAATTAAATTTATGATCTTATTTTTGAAGTGTATTTTTTTCAAATATATGATTAAGAGAACATTTTTGAAATCCTTCTAACATATTTTTCTAGTTCCGTTGAAGAACTGAGTTCAACCGTTCAAATTCTGGTGAACGAACAAATCGTTCATTTAGTTCAAGACGTCTTGTTCATTTTGGAATTTAAAGTCATATTGTTGCGGATTTTGTCTGTTATTTGTTTAATAAGTTGTTAAAGTTGACAAATCAGGAATGGAAGGCAATGTTTACTCAAAGAAGAAGTCCAAGAGAGATACTTTTAAGGAGTTAGCAGAAAACTTTGAGCAGTTGGTTAGACACCCGGATCGATATCTAAAGTTAGTTTATGTTGTTTCAACAGTGCACGTGTTGCTAATATGAATATATTTTTCCTTGTTGTAGGCCCCAAACGGAGTCCATTGAGGCTGTATATCAGCTAATACAGCAAACATATAGCGTGTGCATTGGAAGCAATGTGGATAGTAACCAAGACTACCCGTCCAAGCTTGTCTTGGAAGATATGGACGATGAACAAATCTGGCAACAGCTTGAGATGCGAAATAATTCTGTGCTGGGACATCTATCAAAACAAACTGCCCAGCTTATGAACATAGGGGAACAGCATTTGGGCATCGAACTGGACGATGATGAGGATCCGAACGAGCAGACAAGTGAGCAAGAGAGCATGGAGGAGAAAGCCGAAGATGAGGAGCATCAATCAGAGCTGGAGGATTCTGATAATAGTGATAAAGAGAAGTCAACAACGAAATCCAACCAAATCAAGGCGAAGCGGTCCAAAAAGGGCAGAAGTTCTGTGGTCGATGACACATTTTTCAAATTGGATGAAATGAAGCAGTTTTTGGAACAGGAAGATGCTAAAGAGATGCGGAAGCACAAAAATAATAATTCGGTTGACGAAACTGACGAAATTAATCATTTCGCTGAAGACTTTGGTGTCCTCGAGGATTCAGACGATGACGAGGATGGCGCAAATGCGACCTTTGGCGATTTCTTCGAGATGGATGATGAACTGCAGGAAAAGGCTCACAAACTTAAAGCAGCTACGGAAAAGGACTATTTTAATGAAAGCGAAAGCGAGCATGATGAAGAAGACAATGAGCCAAATAATGATGACTCTAAGGAGGATCTAGCGAGCGAAATCGACGAAGCTGACTTTGTGGCCCAAAGTGGTGTGCAACCTGCTGGTGATCTCGAGTCGGAGTCCAACCGAGAAAGCTCCGACGATGAGACTGAGGAGCCCGCAATGGAGGCACAGTCGTCTAATGAAATGCGGGAGGCGCGGCTGCTGCAGCGCATACGAGACTATGAGGATGTGGTGCTAGGCGAGAAGCCGTGGCAGCTGAAAGGAGAAGTGCAAGCAGGAAATCGACCCCAGAACTCACTGCTTGAGGAGATACTCGAATTTGACTCCGCGGCACGACCCTCAGCTCCACTTACCGATGAGCAAAATCGCACAATCGAGGACATAATCAAGCAGCGCATACGCGACAAGGCCTGGGACGATGTGGAGCGTACGGTGCGACCGGTCCACACTCCACAGGAATACCGCAAGCAACTTGTGCTCGATCAGGAAAAGTCAAAGCAGTCGCTGGCCCAAATTTATGAGCAGCAATACCATCGCGAGCTGGAAAAGTTGAATCCCAATCGTGATGATGAAAGCGCGGCGCCGGAGCCAAAGGAGCATCAAGAAATTAAACGTGCAATGCGCTCACTATTCCTCAAGCTTGATGCACTTTCCAACTTCCATTTCACACCCAAGCCAGTAGCGCCCGAAGCTAAAATTGTAACTAACACACCCGCCGTCCAGATGGAAGAGGTTGCCCCACTGGCAGTCAGCGATGTCAAGCTTCTGGCTCCAGAGGAGGTATACCGTGGTCCCAAGCACACTCCGCTGGGCAAGACAGAGCGCACACGCACCGACAAAAACCGCGAGCGTCGAAAGAAGAAGCAAAAACAGCGCGCTATCAATACAACAATCGAACAGCGAGAACAACAGCGCGCCAAGGCGGGCAAGGCGCCTACGCAACGAGAAACAAACTCTAAGCTGCTTAAAACTATAACCAAAAGTCGCAATGTACATAAGGTTGGTCGCTAGCAAGCAAACTTATAAACTATAATTTATATTTATGTATTTAATAACTAAATTGCAGATCACCATGAGCAACGACCAGGGCGCACTGAAATCCTCAAAGGCATTCTTTAATAAACTGCAGGACAAAACATCGTCCACGTCAGCTTCCACTGGCAGTAAACGTCCCAAAAAGGCTACTTCTGAAGTCAATGCAAAAAAACTGAAACTGTAACCACATAAATTACTTTTAAATGATAATTATATACATAAATTATCAAATTTATTACATTTTATTTATTTACACTCTGTCTCACGACAATAAGTAAATTTATCTACATATCTACATAAAATTAACAAGAATAGAAAGTTTCCAGCGAAACCTACTATTATATTTTACTTAATTTGTATGTAAGCTTAGAGTTCTACTTATTTCAAGTATTTATCAGGGAGATCGAGAATATGCGCTCTTTTAAGTCTTCTTACTTCTAGACTATTATCTGTTAGATTCAAGGCGAGGCTATTTTGGTGTTTGTGAAGTCTATCAATGTATCTAAATACCTATTTGATTAATATCTTCTTTTACATAAGGAATTTGTAAAGGTGTAGAAATCAATCCACACAGTCTAGAGTATGGCTTTAGAGAGGCTAACTTTGTTTTCTAGGCTAGTTTGAGGTTTTCGGTCTAACAGCCAGGACATTTGTTGTGTCTTTAATTTAAGTTGCTGCCGTTTTGCCTTTATATGATTTTTCCATGTGGGTCTCCGATCGAGAGCAAGCCAAGATGCTTCACTGGGCTGCTTTGCGGAACCGCCCTTTCTTAAAGTAAAAGTTATTTGGACGTAATATTGCAACAGTTGTGTTATTAGAGTTTTAGTTTTCATGACGTCGAAATAAGGCGCGCAGCATTCGTCACGTGCCAATAAATGAGTCGCATCCCAAGTTTCTGCAGCTACGCTGGGTTTCTAGGAAACTATAATTTGAGGCACCATGGGAGATGGCACGCGTCGAGCAGTCCAAATTTTGTGGGCGTGTGTATTCCCAAGGACATGGCCTGGGGCAATTAGGCACTTGTGCCATCGCAAAATTGGGATATTTTTAGTCGACCTTTAAAGTAATAGGAGTATGATAATCCTATTTAAGGCGTGCGAATGACGCACACATATTTCTGCGCAGAACGTGGCTTTTATATATTATAAAGCATTTTACTTTAACAGAAATACCTTTTGCTATATAGAAATAGAAATAGTGTTAGTACGATGCATATTTAAGTGTACGTTGTGCAGCACTGTTGCAATAATCGAAACTATGTTAACGATATTTAAGAAAACGATAACGATTAGGCACTTTTTGTTCGATAATTTTGTACACTGCACGTGTTGTTCAGCGAATTTTGTATTCAATTTTTATTGCATTTGAAAATCAGTCATGGTTAAAGTACAAAAACCGCTGCCAAAATCTTTAAAGAAGAAAACAAAAGATGACGGTGTTTCTAAGGAAAAACAAAAGGTTAACAAAGGCAAACTTACATCAAAAGCAAAACAATCTGCCGCAATTACAGTTGACGCCAAAAACATGAAAACCATTCTGGAGGGAAAGAAATCAAAAGCAATTGAAGCCAAGCTCAAAGATGTCAAGCTGCCACAGAAGTCTAAGCCAGCCAAGAAGCCGTTGGTTTTGGCACCACCAGAATCGCCGGTTGCTCCAAAAGTTGCCAAAAAGGCGGTGCCGGCAGCTGCCCCCAAAGTGACAAAAACACTTAAAATTAACAAGAACGAAAAGGAACCAATATTGAAATCCGTGGAGAAGCCGAAGCCTAAAACACAAGCGGCAATTAACAAGAAATCCGAAAAGGAAGATAATAAGACTGCTGCATTAACTACAAGGAGTTCTAAGAAGCAGCCACCGTTGGCAAAAGAACCAAAAGTAGCACAAAAGAAACTCGGCGAAAAGAAAAAGGCTAAACTGACTACCAAAAAACTGTCAAAGGCTGTAGGAAATAAAAATGTAAAAGAAATGGGTGCAAAAAAACCAATTGCCGTAAAAAAGAAGGCACAGAAAGACGTGGAGCTAAACTATGAGTTAAATCCGTTTGACGAGGATAAATTTCATGAAATTGTCAGCGAATCAAATGTGCACAAGGTGTGCTCTGCGCTGATGAGCCAGGTGGCCGAGGAGGTGAAAAACCACAAAGCGAAACCCATTTTTAGCGACTACCGCTATATGCTACAGGTGTGCTGCTATAAGATACCCAGCTGCCCGAAGCGAGTAGCTAAGCTGGCGCTGAAGCACTCGCTAGTCGGAGCCGAGGATGACGTTGCCCTGATTGTGACTGACCTGCAGCGCGGAGCGCGCTGTGACTATGAGCCGACTGTGCAGCACTATGAGGATTTGTTGCGGGAGCATAACGTCGATCAGCGTTTAACGGTAGTGCCGTTTAATCGCTTACGCAACGATATGGGCACTTTTGAGGCTAAGCGCAAGTTCCTAAATAGCTATGACTACTTACTCTGCGACGGACGCATATCCGGCCAGGCTAGCGCTTTTCTCGGCAAGGTGAGTTACATGTTACTTGCCACATTCCCTGTTACAGC